TCAGCACCAATTCAGAGATGATTAGAGGATCTACAGCTGAGTGATACACAAATAAGATACATTTTTGTTAATAGTTAAGGAACTTGAATGCATTTATAAGATTTAACTCCTGAGTTTATTGTCACTTTAACTCCTGAGTTTGGCGTCACTTTAACCTACTAACAATGGTGCCTAGGTTTCAGAAATGGTGGTTAGAGGTGCACCGAAATGAAAATGTCAAAACTAAAACGAAACCGAAAAAAATAAAATGTCAGGCCGAAACCAAAAAATTGTTTTATTTAACTTTCACTTTTTTTCAAAATATTGTATTTTTTATAAACTTTTTCACTTTTTATATTTATTTATGTATTCATATTTTATTACATATTTGTATTTTTTACTTTACTTTTAGGGGCTTTTGGGAAATATTAGGGGTCTGTTACCTTCCTTTTAAAATAGAAAAAGAGATTGAGGGCACAAAGTCCTCAATCTCTTTTTTTGCTGCCCATGTTATCAATGAACAAGAATCCTCTATACTGAGTGTTTCTATTCATTCATAACATGAGAACAGAGTATGTTTACTATAACTACAACTATGAATGAACAGGAGGTGATGTAGATCACTCCCATTCATTCATAATTGAGGCTATAGTACACATACCATGTCCTCAATTACGTACACACTCAGCGATCATTGAGTGTTTGTACTGCTCTCCTTCCTGACATGCTGTCACAGGAGGCTGGGCGGGGAGCTCAGTCTCCTGTGACAGCACTGGATGTCTCCGCCCACACACCACTCTGCTGCACTGTGATAAGAGGCTGAACTGTGTGGGAGGAGAGACGCCGGCCGCTCACAGCGCTCGGCCAGCTGTCACAGTTTCTCTCCTCCCTGCTGGGACACAGAGCAGCGCCAAGCGGGGAGGAAAGAAAGCAGGGATGCGCCGATAGGGAAAACCCCTATTGGTAAAGCTGGCCAGCCACCTATAGATTATCTGCAGATTTTCTATGGTCAAATGGAAAAAGTGCAACAGATTCCTCCATCTACGCTAAGCTGTGTGGATGGAGGAATCATCCACTGGGCCAAGCTTCTGTATCTTGTTAGTAGACCCTGCGGCTCTCAAAATACCTGAACAATGCCTGAATCCAATCAGATTGTTCAGGTATTTTGAGAGCCAGCGGGGCCGACTAGCAAAATACTGAAACTTGGCCCAGTGGGAGATTCCTCCATTTTAGCATAGATGGAGGAATCTGTTGCACTTTTTCCATCTGACCATAGAAAAGCTGCAGGTAATCTATAGGTGTATGATTAGCTTAACTCTGCAGTACCAAACTTGCACTCATCTCCAAGCTAGCTGCAAAACAGTACATTTGAAATATCTACATGCAACATTCAATATCGACTTGACTAAAAAAAAAAAGTGTCTTCTGAACAGAATCCAAAATCCCAATGAGTTCAACACATACCAAGAATCACCAACTTTGCCAGCCTTCCATGTGTACAGAGCAATTTCAAAACAGCGCTGAATATTCGAACAGACACCAGACTGCCCTCATCAACCACCAGTGCTTCTACTTTGGAGAATTTCCATGGAAATGTATGCTTTTCACCACTCTCTTCTTTTTTCTGCTTCTGTTTTTTCCACGCTGAATAGCTGCATGTAATCTAGAACAGAATGGAGAGAGATTCACCCAATTCAAAAAATTCAGGTCAAAGCACAGAAAATCTAATCAATCAGATACTGAAATTAAAGTGACATTAAACCCTCAGATTTTTTAACATAAAACAATACTGTAATGTGTGCCTCACTGTAATCCATGGTAGTTTCCCTTCTCTTTGCTGCTCTTCCTTTTAAATCTGTATCTGTTCTCATGCTGGGCAGAACTTCTGTTTGGCAGCAGACTGCCTTGTTTCTGAAATGGATACACGGTGTCTGTGTGTAGGTTTGTAACCTGAGCCAGCGCTACAGGAAGAGGCCCTGAGCTGCAAAGGGGAGTTCTCCCCAAGCATGAGAAGACATGAGGATTTAAAAAGGAAGAGCAGCAAAGAGAAGGGAAACACCCATGGATTACAGTAAGGCACACATTACAGCATTGGTTTATGTTAAAAAAAAATCTGAGGGTTTAATGTCACTTTAAATATATTAAAAATAAAAAGCCCATTGCAAAAAAAAAAAAAGGAGGAGGAAAGAAAGGACTAATGTGCAAAACTGACAATGTAAAGAAGTGGAACCAAGAACACAAAGTACATATACATATTGGAAATGTGCTTTTAAAAAAAAAGCAGCAACTGAACTACGGGTTAAAACCTGGCTCTCCGATTCATCTGCTGTAGTGCTGCCCAAAACTCATGCAGTACTGGGAAGGAGTTCTTCTTGTGCTGAATTCTGTTTTTGCTACGTCCATTCCTAATGGTTCGACTTACCTGTATCCTGAGGGTGTTTGAGTCCTCTGGGTTGGACTCGTTCACCTCTACAGCAGTTACCAGGGCATGGTTTGCTGCTAGTCCTGAAATGGGTGTAAGTTTCCTCGCCCTTTGTAGAAGATTGGTGTACTGAGCTGAATTCTAATTTCATCAGGAAAGCCCACATATAAACAAAGGGGCTCTGCAGATAAATATTATATGATTTGGAATAGGTGGCTTGAACGCAGGCCCCCATATGTCAATGAATGAATGTTTGGGTATGTGGTATGTAGCCCTATATATGCTTAATTTCTTCCGTTGATTTTGTATATTGTAAATAGTTGATAAACATTTCTAAAGCAACGTACTGCGTTCTCTATTTTTTTATATCTGTAAGGGTTCGGAGATCTGTACCTGCACTGTCTTACACTGCAGCAGACACTGCTTTTCTTTGTTTGTGGTTGTTTTCACATAGTAAAACCATTTTAACATAATAAAAAAAGTATCTAAAAAGCAGACTGAAATATAAAAGGAAAAGCATTAACTGTCCTGTCATTATTGTAGTGACCTTTTTCATAGAAGATTCCACTCTTCTGTGTGAACAGTGCAAATGCAACATGGTAACCATGAAATGTCTCAATTCAATCTGTGTACACAATATCACTTAGTGACAAGCGCACGTGAATAAAGAGTATATGTATAAGGGAGGATACCCAGAAAGGACGTTGTTGCTCAGCTAACATCCCTTTCAATTTAGAAAGGCCAAAATTATCAAAAGGGACTTTAGATTATGCATTATTTTATCAACGTGTTTTGTTACAAGACACTGCTCATTTGTGGTACGTTAAAATTTGAATTTGGCATCACAGTTGTTAGCACTTTTGTCTTGCAGCGCTGGGGGTCCCTGGTACAAATCCCAGTCAGGATACTATCCTTATGCAGTTTGCATGTTCTCCGTGTGCTTGTGTGCGTTTCCTCCGGGTACCCCAGTTTTCTCCGACACTGCAAAGACATGCTGGGAGGTTAATTGGCTCTTGTATAAATCGGCCCAGTATGTATGTGAGATAGGGACCTTAGATTGTAAGCTCCGAGAGGCAGGGACTGATGTAAATGTGCACTATGTAAAGAGCTTCATAAATTGTAGGCGCTATAGAAGTACCTGTAATAAAATAAATAAAACCCACCAGGACAGACCAATAATCATGCAAGCAGCATTTTCAGCAGTAAAGGGTAGAGTGTTACCATGCATTGTGGTGTGATGGGTTGCCCTTTCATTGCCAACATTGTAATAAAATGCGCAGTATCAGAATGAATGGTAACACAGCACAACAACACACATACCCGAAGCGCACTGGTGTGAATGGGCCATAAACTCTCCCAAGTAATAGCAAGGATCAATTTGTACCTGATGTAGAGTAGCAGCTGGAAGTTCAGTTTTCTTCTTCAGGAGAGAAGCTGCCTTTCCTGTGGGTGCAGTCAGCAAAATACGAATGGTGTCACTGTGTACACAGCTTGAGGTCGTGGCATTAAAAACCCATTCTTCTGATGCATCCAAGTCATCTTCGAAGGCTTTGCAGGCCTCTTCAACTTCATCCTTTTCTTGCTGCATAACAGCTTTGAACACAAGACTTACTACTGTGGTCTTTCCACATCCACCTTTTCCACTTATAATGGTCACTGGGTTGGCCAGAATCATACTAGCCGCTGCTTGCTGCTCAGCATCCAGCTTTGTTGTACAGTTCTCTGGTGTGGTGCAGTCATTTATCTGTAAATTCTTAATCTGCTCATCAGTAAATTCATGTACTAGCGTCCGTCTGGCCATACTTGAACAGAACACCTGTTCTTTTTGTGAAGTATGCTCACCAAGTCTATCAGTTACTTCCACCGCTGAATCTTGGGGCTTTTTCATTGCCAACTTTCTAATAAAACGTGCAGTATTTACCTCATAAAGGTAATAATTGTACAGAAAAACTCGATCCTGCTCAATCATCACAATTTCCTGATCTTTGAGAAACCTGATCGCTTCCCAGGCAGCCACATCTGACATGATTTTACAGACCGATTTGGTAAGGGCAGATTGTTTTACGTAAGTGTCACCCAGATTCATGCATTTCTTTTTCAGTTCGTTGTATATATGTAATGCATTTAGCTGCAAGTCGGGAATCTTTTTCAGGAGGTCATCACACTGTTGGAAGTTGTCCAATGTTGCCTCAAAGCCACAGAGTTGGAGCTCCTTATAAAGCAACTAAAACATAAAAATACATTTGAATGTTTCCGGTGTACATTTGACTGAAGAGAATATTTTGCAACACAACTTTAGAAGTGTCTAGTCAGGATTCCAACTGGATTCCAATTATATGGCTCATGACTAATTGCTCCAATTTACCAGTTTTAGTTGGCTTAGCAAGTATATCGCTAGGCAAAAACTTTTTTTATTGGAAAGGGAAAGGGCATGCAAGGGTTAGACCACATGTGTCAAACACAAGGCCCGTGGACCAAATCTAGGAAGGCTGCCGAGGTCCCCAGCAAGGTCCGGCAGCCTTTCTGTGAATCGCGGCACCCGTTTACAGCGCCGGCCGCAAATCACCTTTTAGTGGATCCACCTTGCCCCCACCTGTTGAGGCCGACTGGGGCCACTGGACCCCCACTGGACCGCACAGCTCTCCCAAGATCACACATAGCCCACCATAGAACCTGCACAGCCCACCTGAGAGTCCGCCAAGCCCCCCATAAAGCCAGCACAGCCCACCACAGAGCCCGCGTTGCCACCTGAGAATCCGCACTGTTACATTAATTCAGGGGTCTCAAACCCATTTTACTCGGGGGCCACTCGACAATTTGTTTTCTCCCATGGTGGCCACTCGCCAAATTTCATACTTTAAAATAAAATTTAACTATATCCGGTATGGTGCTACGGACCCCAATACACACACAATACAGCCCCATTCATATCTGTAAGTTTAGGTGCAATTAGGAATTCCTGCATCAGGAACTTGCGTTCTCCTGCAGCCGGGATCCCTAATCTGGAGTTTACAAGCGGCCGATGTTACCCATTGAAGTTAATGATCAGGTGACAGCAGCTGAATGTGAACGCCTGCACACCGCATGTAATGGTATGTGATATGATTACAAGCGGTTAGAAAACACTGTCCCTGGATGCACAATTGATGCATCCAGGGAGAGTGATTGATTCCTAACCAAATGTAAGTGTGTGTGTGTGTGTGTGTGTGTGTGTGTGTGTGTGTGTGTGTGTGTGTCACACATTTTAAGCTCCTTGAGGGCAGGGACAAATATGCATGGAACAGTATGTGCTGCATAAATTGTCAGCACTATAATAATACAGTACCTATAATGATTAAATATGTCACATGCTTTAATAAAAAGGACCCACATCAGGGTCCATAATAACAAATGCAGAAATGTTCATGAAGAATATGGGGTGCTGAAAACATATGCTTTCTCAAAGATCTCCCTAGTGGGGAAACAGAACTAAATCCTGACACATGCGCTAACAATCTATACTAGGTGCTTTTAATGCTATTAATGTGAATATTGGAGACATTCACCTTACTTCCTCTCCAGGGGACAAGCATACAGACAGCCATAAAAAACAAAACAAAAAACTTACATAAGTTCTAACCTTTCCCAAAATAGTTTTAACTATTGTTGGGCCACACAAAATTATCAGCAGGATACTTACCGAACCAAAGCCAAGCTTCCAAGGCTCAGTATCCAGTAGGCTTTCAAGTTTAAGTAGTAGATCTAGTGGTGTGTAGATGTTCAGCAAGTGATCAGGTGGTGCATCAATGGTCGGCAAACTATCTTTACCATGTAACTTTAGCAAGCCTCTCATTTTGTGTGGTAAAAGTTTGGGTACATATTTCAGCACCAGTGGAAGGTCCAGCGCTTTCAATGCAAAGCTACCTTGCTCTGAATAAAATATAAAATGGAAAGTTAGGATGATCCACCAACCTACAGAAATTGCATCTTCATTTCCTCCTAGTATACTGTATATTTGAAAATAGCTATAGACTGGCAGAGGTGTCCACGAGAATGGTGGAAGAGAAGACATCTGTCCTCTCCGAGAAACGCCAGTACTGCCAATTGCTTGTTTGACTTTCCTGACTTAGAAAAGGGTCACACGCGTGGTTATCATCGCTTTACATTTTCAAATTGAAGCAGCTGCCTTAGGTGCCACGCTTCCTGGGGACCTCACAGCAGCGTTCTTGGGAACGCGGTTCCTGTTTACAGCACTTCTGCCAGCCTGCACATCTCCCCCTGCTGAGACCCTCCCCATGAGACATCAGGCTGGCACCCCGAAGCAAAGCGCCAGCACTAAAGAAAACGTGTACCAAATACATCGGCCATTGAGTTTAGAAGTGTATAAACAAATGCAATTTCCTCCAACCTTCTACACCCCGACCTGTACGTTAAACTTGTGTTTCCCCAGCTTCCTACAGGTGAGAGGAGACTCATGGTGAACAAAGCCAAAATTCTTTTTATATCGACCAGTGAAAATGGTTTCTGGATCAGCCTTCGATTTCCACACAGAAGTTATACTGCATGTGTACCACAAGGACACACAAGACACAGTATATCCTGTAGGTGTCTTTTATAATAAGCACGGGCATCTAACATCTCAACATCCTTCCACTGCTACCAACAAAGGGCATATAAAAAAAAGGACAGTGGAAATGTGAAGACACATTGACTAGATAGCTCATGGGAAATTCCAGCTGTGTTTTACATAAATGTTTCATGTATCACCCTCACAAAGCTTCAAACTCATATAATGATATAATGCAGAAAAATAGAACGCTTCACATACCTGAACGAATCAAACATTGTAGGATATCTTTACCATGCTTTTTCTTAAAGTCTTCTGCCAGCTTGACCAGTCGGCTGAAAGTCACAGGTTTATCCCTCACCCATTTCACAAATTCCGATATAAAATCTGTATGTACGTTACATTCCTTAAGAAACAGCGACAATATGGATTCCTCTCCAAGGATGTCATCTTTCAGTTTATAGGATGGGTATCCTTTGACAAAATACTGAGAACCTGATTGTTTCACATGCACAGCTACAGACCACCAGGGTTCAACCAGTGGAAAGAAGCCAGTGACAATATATTCTTTGGAGTCTTCGGTGAAAATTTTCACTGGAAATAAAGATAGAACCAAAAATAAAAAGGTTACACTTCACACAAGATGCCACACGGAGAGTTACCTGGGTATTAAAACACAACAGTATATATACTTGAAACTCAATTGGTTAAAAAAATTAAAACATTCTGAGCCTAAAAGGCTCATGCTGATAAACTCATTTCATCATTAAAGACTTCAAGTGTAGTTCCACTTTTGCATTCGGTTTTGAGAAAACCCCACTATGTTTGGTTCCTTTTCACAAAGCATATATAAAAAGATATTTTAAAAATATATTGACCTTTTAGCTGTTTCTTTGGTGAAGGTCTTTGCGCAGATTTCAAGCTACTCTGGGCAGTTTGAAAATGAAACTGTAATGTCATATTGAGGGACAGACTGGACTTCTTCCCATTAACACACAGCGTCTCCCAACCTTTAAGCTGGGTTCACACCATTTTCCGGACCAGACCTGGAACATAGTGCATTGCGTTTTTGCCGCGATTGGAATTGTTTTTTCTTTAGCTTAAAATGTTCTTACAGGTGCGTTCCACGCGTTTTTTATGCATTCCAGACCAGCCAAAATAGGACAAGTAGTATTTTTCTGGTGTGGAACGGACTGCGCCAGTGGGAACAGAGGCCAGAAATAGCATAGGGACACATTGGGATGCATTTTGGGTCCGGAAACAGTCTGGTCTGGAGGTAATCTGGATGTGGTGTGAATGGGCCCTCAATCCTTTGTTGGGACTGACAGTGTTTAAATCAAATTTACAACTGATATGGAAATCTGCCAACACTGTACAGACAGGGCTAATTAAAAGGAGAACTATGAGGTCAGGGCTTTTCCCCATAGTTCTCCTAAGGGTAACAGGAGGACACAAACTAGCATCCTCCCGTCACCCTAAGCTCAGTATACCGCGAGCTACAGCGCGCGGTATACTGAGACCCCGCAGTATACCGCGAGCTGTATACTGAGACGCCGCAGCTGAAACAGGTCCCGACAATTATGTCTGTATCCGCCCAGCTGCGTGAGTGACGGCTGGCTCTGCCTATCTAGAGGCAGAGCCTACTGTACCCACCCCATCCGTTCCGCTAGTCAGCGCTGGAGGATCGGAGCAGGGAGGGGGGGAATCCAGTCCCTCCCGTCATGGCTCTCTGCCGTGACAGGATCGAGAGGTGAGCGAACGCCGGTATGTGTTCGCTCACCTCCCGATCTACTGAGCCGACCTGCGACAGTCTCATTGTCACAGGTCGGCTAGAACTATGAGGTGAGTGAAAAGCACTCGCCTCATAGTTCTCCTTTAAAGTAAACAAAAATCCTACCTATCCTCCCCCTATGTAATGTTAAGGAGGGGGCTGTGCGGAGTTATAAGTAAAAAGCACTCAAACATGTGGAGCAACTATTTATTTTTTTCATTTTTTTAAGTTTACACAAAAGCGGAACTACCCTTGAAATCATTATCAGATAGAAAAAGTCATATATATGTTAAGTCATGTTAAAACCCTCTCCATTGTTTCACTGATGTAATTTCTATACCCAAGGTAGTCCTTTGAAAACAGATTGCGTGTTATAGATGTTGAAACATAAAAACACTTAATTGTTTCTTATATCTCTGCACACGGCCTGCAGTCATTCTAGTCCATCTGTATTAAAGAAACATGAACACCTAACTGAGCAAAGATCTGAACCTGTGAAAAAAATTAAGCCAACCTATCTTTGTGAAAATGCTAGTTCACTGGCTGTGACAACGATCCAGCGGGTTCGGTATTTTCTAAGTCAATGGTCTGGGAAAAGTATACTGATTAGAAGTTCAACCTTCACGCTGACTTTTCTGATCTACATATACCTATTCTGAGTGAGCAACTCCCAAAGTATGGAAGACAATAGCCCAAGCACTGGAACATGACTTCTCCACCCAATGTCCGACACCAACCAACACTTGGGATTTTAACGCTGGCTGCAATGAAGAAAGGATTAGCAGAGGAGCGCTAAATCGGATGCTATCATTGGGTTTGGGCTATCCCTTTGCCCTATAGAGGCAAAGTGTCAGTGTCTCTTTAAAGCAGAACTCTAGGATATGCAAAAATTCATCCATGCAATGGGGTTACCCCTGGCACTGCAAAGGTTAACTTCCGCTTTTGGTCTAGGGGCCAGCAGTCAGAAGACATTCAGTATTCAACCAATCCTCGGTCCAGTGAAGGTGAGGGCTCACCACTCTCCCCTAATGCAAGTGAATGGAACCTGCACAGACATGATGATGTTGTGGGTCCTTAGACTGCTGGTGCCCAGGGGAGAAGAAGCTGAGGGGACCGGTCTAGCAGCCAGGCAGTATTAAGAATCAGGTGTATATATCATCTTTAATCCATCCCCTAGGCCAAAACAAGCAGTTAGCCCTTGTAGTGCGGGGATAGCCCCGTTGCAAGGGTTAATTTTTCCACATCCTAGAGTTCTGCTTTAAGAAATCCTGACACTAATTCATCCTAATCTATTTCTATTGTCTTAGATTGTCACTGAACCCTGTTCACACCGGCACACTCTATATCAGGGGTAGGCAACTCCGGCCCTCCAGCTGTTGTGGAACTACAAGTCCCATGAGGCATAGCGAGACTGACAGTTACAGGCATGACTCCCAGAGGCATGTTGGGATTTTTAGTTAGCGGGAGTTGCCCACCACTACTGCTTTCAAAACTATTAATGTCAGAGGCAGTAATGAAAGGCATTCCAGAGCAAGGTGTACCTGAGAATACAAGACTGAAACCAGCAAACACGTTAACAGTTTCCAGGAACATAATAAAATGAAACTAAAGTCAGGTTTTGAAAACATTTTTACAGGTGGCTTCTCCTGACAGAGGGAATTTATCCAACCAATCAGCTTCTCTCTTTCATCTTCAAATCTTAACTGAACAAACTGAGAAGAGAGGCTGATTGGTTGCCATGCAACATAAATCCAGCGCAAATATATCCCATGCGACCATATGGGAGTTCAAACACTAGCAACTGCTATGATAAATTCCCCCAAATGTGTTTTCTGCCATAAAGGTTTCTCCATATCAGTCAGCATTTATTTCCTAAATTGTACACTGAGCCGTGCATGTACAGCTTCGTTTATATTCTCAGCATGATTCTGTGCCGGGACAAAGTAGCTCCGATGTACATGCACGGACATTACATTAGCAAAGCCCGGCAAATCAAGAAGGCTGCAAACCTGGAAGATGTGCGATAAAGGGGGAGTGTTGACATTTGAGGGCTGGTGGGGGACATTGAGCAATTCTTTTGTTGTTATTGTCTAGGGCAGGGGTAGGCAAACTTCAGCACACCAGCTGTGGTGACACTACCAATCCCAGGAAGCATTGCAAGACTCCCAGAGGCAGATGCATGTTGGGATTTGTAGTTTCACCACAGCTGGAGTGCTGAGGTTTGCCTACCCCAGGGCTAGAGAACTTCTTTTTCATCTCAGTTTGTCTGCAAACCCCCGTGGCACACAGTTATCCAAACAAACAACAAAAAAGGCTTGCAGGAAACAAGAACATCAGAAAAAGAAATACACCTCACATACAGAGGAGGGCTACAAGTGCATGGGTGCTCACTTTTAATGCGTAGCTACACTCAAAACTTTATTTAAAAGAACATTCTACTTTAAACTAAATGAATGCACCCATATTGCAAAAAGAGAAAATGAGCATTTATTAATTTTTTTGCATTGCAGCCATGATCACAAGTGCAGTGCTCAGTGAAAGCGGTCTTAGAATTGTTTTGGATCAGGTGGGGAAGGATTTGATCCTCCATCTGTTTTTATACCGGTCTCTGTCCGCACTGTCATCATGATCATAAACTAAAAAAAACACCAAAGGCTCTAACCTTTCCCCACTTTATCCATACCTATTACCTAAAATGACTGCAATTCCTCTTAAATATCAGGGTGTTCCAGGGACACCTGCCTGCATATATAATGGGGTGGTGACAGGGCCAGCATCATTGTAAAGGGGAAAAGGGGGGTGGATGGATCCATGTGACAGCCCTCTGTTTACCTTTGGTGTTCTGTGTTGAGAAAGACGGAATCTGTAACGCTCCCCCTTCAATCTCTTCTGCATCCAGGAACTCCGGATCTGCGCCCTCAGATGGGTCCACATCCTCGTCCCTGTCACTATCCCCATCTTCTTCCTTCACTGGCAATAAGCGTCCCTCAAGCTTAATCCAGCTTTCTCTTCCACTCCGATTTCCCAACCGCACATTGCTCATCTCCACTTCCAAATAGGCGCCCTAGTGTTAATGCTGCTGACATCATTAGAACGCGACATGAAAACAGTGTACAGGCAACGGAAGTGTCGCCGAGAAGGCGACGGTCGGCCATGTTTATGGTTAGCCAAACAGGTTGATTGTAACAGAAAGTAATTAACCACTTGAAGTAGGTTGTTAACCCCCCTTCCTGTCCAGGCCATTTTTCAGTATTCAGCGCTGCAGTACTTTGACTGACATTTATTCTGTCATGCAACGCTGTACTGAAATGAATTTTATACCACTTTTTGGGGACAGATAGAGCTTCTTTTGGTGGTATTTAATCACCGCTGGGGGTTTTAATTTTTTACTATATTAACTAGGGATGTCCCGATACCGATGCTAGCATGGGAATCGGGCCCGATACAGGGCATTTTGACAAGTACTTGTACTTGTCAAAATGCCCCGATGCCTAGAGCCGAAGCTTGCGCTGTTTTTTTTTT